CCCCAATGAACATACAGAGTTGAAAAGGCAAGTTGATGAATTGTTGAAGAAGGGCTTTGTGAAAGAAAGCATGAGCCCTTGTGCGGTTCCCGCATTACTGACGCCCAAGAAAGATGGTACATGGCGTATGTGTGTGGATAGCCGTGCGATTAACAAGATCACGGTGAAATACCGTTTCCCCATTCCACGGTTGGATGATATGCTTGACCTTATGTCTGGAGCCACTATCTTTTCTAAGATTGATCTAAAGAGTGGTTACCATCAGATTCGCATCCGTCCCGGTGATGAATGGAAGACCGCTTTTAAGACAAAAGATGGATTGTACGAATGGATGGTCATGCCCTTTGGTTTGACTAATGCTCCGAGCACTTTTATGAGAGTGATGACTCAAGTACTTCGCCCCTTCACGGGAAAATTTTTGGTTGTGTACTTCGACGATATCCTTATTTACAGTAACTCTCGTGAGCAGCACGTGGACCATCTGCGTCAAGTCTGTGCCGTGTTGAGAAAAGAGCAACTTTATGCTAATCCTAAGAAATGTACTTTTCTTACACAGCAAGTCATTTTTCTAGGATTCGTGGTCTCGTCTGAAGGAGTATCCGCTGACCCTGAAAAAGTCAGAGCTATTGAAGAATGGCCCGAACCCAAGAACATTAGAGACGTTCGGAGTTTTCACGGACTCGCTATTTTTTATCGTCGGTTTATCAAGGGCTTCAGTACCATCATGGCCCCTATTACCGATTGCTTGAAGAAAGGTGAGTTCGAGTGGTCAAAAGCTGCTACCAAGGCATTTGAAGAGATCAAGCAAAGGATGTTGCAGGCTCCTGTTATGCGCCTGCCCGATTTTTCTAAAGTCTTCGAAATTGCGTGTGATGCCTCTGGTATTGGAATAGGTGGAGTCCTATCTCAAGAAGGACATCCCGTTGCTTACTTTAGTGAGAAGCTGAATGATACTAGGCAACGTTATTCCACCTATGATAAAGAGTTCTATGCGGTGATACAATCTCTTCGACACTGGCGTCACTATCTGCTCCCACAAGAATTCGTCATATATTCTGACCACGAAGCTCTTCGATATATTCACTCCCAAAAGAAATTGAACGCTAGACATGGTCGTTGGGTTGAGTTCCTCCAGGATTATACCTACACGATCAAACATAAAGCGGGAGTAGAAAATAAAGCCGCCGACGCACTCAGTCGTCGCATGCACCTCCTCTCCACTTTGAGTGCGGAAGTTATCGGTTTTGAGAAAGTCAAAGACCAATATGAATCGTGCCCTGACTTTAGCGAAGTTTATACTTTGCTGAATGATGGAGTGACCCGTGAGATTGATGGCTTTCTCCTGAAGGATGGATATCTTTTTCATTTTCGCAAGTTGTGTATTCCTGACACCTCCCTGAGAGAATTCTTAATTTGGGAATTACACGCTGGAGGCCTTGCAGGATATTTTGGGAATAACAAGACTATCGAGGCAGTTGAAAGCCGCTTCTATTGGCCAAGCATTAAACGCGACGTTGTTAGACTAGTGGGTCGATGTCACATCTGCCAGCTGGCGAAACAACGTAAACAGAACACTGGCTTATACACTCCTCTCCCTGTGCCAAGTTGTCCATGGCAGGATGTTAGTATGGATTTCGTGTTAGGACTCCCGAAAACGATTAGAAAACACGATTCTATCTTTGTTGTTGTGGACCGCTTCTCCAAAATGGCCCACTTCATACCATGTTTCAAAACTTCCGACGCTTCTCATGTGGCCAAGCTATACTTCAACGAAGTTGTTAAACTGCACGGGCTTCCGAAAACAATCGTGTCAGATAGGGATGTTAAATTTACAAGTTATTTCTGGAAAACCCTTTGGCACAAAATGGGAACTAAACTTCAATTCTCTACGGCCTTTCATCCCCAGACTGACGGTCAAACTGAGGTAGTCAATCGGAGCTTAGGTAACCTATTAAGATCGTTAGTTGGCGAAAATCTTAGGAGTTGGGATCAACATTTGCCTACTGCTGAATTTGCTTATAATAACTCTGTTAATAGGTCTACAGGTGTCAGTCCAGCTGAAGTCGTGTATGGTTACAAACCTAGACAGCCTATAGATCTTGTCCCCGTGTCTGCACATCATAGAGTATCTGAGTCAGCATCTGCATTTGCATCTCGCATTCATGACTTGCATAAAGACATCAGTAAGAAGATCAATGACAGCAATGCTAACTATAAAATGCGAGCAGATCTAAGAAGAAAGTTTAAAGAATTTAATGTTGGTGATTACGTGATGGTTCGGATACGTCCGGAACGGTTTCCTCCGGGAACTGTTAAAAAGTTGCATGCGCGAAGTGCAGGACCTTTTAAAATTCTCAAGAAAATTAATGATAATGCTTATGTTCTCGACCTTCCCGAAGGTTTTAATATTGGTTCGACTTTTAATATTGAGGATTTAGTAGAGTACAAAGGCCCACATTTTAACCCTGACAACCCACTGGTTGATGAGCCTACCCCTGAGCCTATTTCTGAGAGCTCCCCTTTACCTCCACTTCCTCAGATATCACCCACATATACAGCACATGACATTGATACTATTATTGATGATAACATTGTTTCTACTAGCAATGGTGGTATCCGCAGGTATTTGGTACGTTGGAAAGGACGACCTGAGTCAGATGACACTTGGCTCGATAGGGATTACTTACAGAGGCTGGATCCAGATCTTCTTGAGCAGTATGACAGCCGCTCTGATTTACACTCGACAGGGTCGAGTTGGATCCAGATCTTCTTGAGCAGTATGACAGCCGCTCTGATTTACACTCGACAGGGTCGAGTTCTCTCCCACCCGGGGAGAATGATGGGGACATCCGCACACAGGTTCGAGATTTTCGCCGAGTTTATCAGCGAAGGAGACGCCAGGTTGCAGCACTATGGTTTTAATTTTAATTGTAATAAATGAGTTTGAAGTCTGGAAATTTTTCTTGAATTTCAAATTTTCGAATTTCAAATTTCAGTTGGCAGCTAATTAGTTAAGTGGTTGTATTTTGGTCATGAGAGAGATTTGAGGGATTTAGAGGATTTTCCAAATCTGTAAGTTTTCTTTATTTAAGCTCTCTTGTAATCGGATTGAAATCATTGAAGAATAAGAAATGAAATTTACCTTGCTTGATTTGGTGTGAAACCCTAGCAGTAAATTCGTTCTCTTCTACAGCAGCCATTCAAAAGAAAATTCAAAAAAATTGGTTACTGTTCATCGTCTTCCTCCTCAAACAATCACAGTCAAACAACCATTCCTCTCTTCCCCCACCAGCAGCCGCTCCATCATCAACTCCAGATCCTTTCTTCATCGCTCCGGATCCCCCACCTCCGGCCACCTCCAGCAACGCCGGCAGCGCCCCGGCTTCGTCCGCCTCCACCTCCCCGACCCGCCTCCTCTTCAAATCCCCCAGTCGCACCCCACCTCCAAGCGCCCAGTCCCCTTCCGACGCCAACCCCCTGTCCTGGCCGCTCCGATCTCCTCGTCAACAACCCCCACCACCGGCTCCCCTTTTTTTTTCTCCCCACAGATCCGTTCCCCTCTCATTTTTTTTGTTCCGTGAATAATTCCAGAAAACCCCCTTGCGTCTATTATTATATTCTGTGAACAGTACTCCCACAAGAGACAAATCTTTCCCCTCTCCTTATTGTTATTGAGGTTAGATCCGGTTTATGAGCTTTGTCGGTGTATGGCTGATCCTGATGCTGATGATGGAATCGTGCTAGATCCAGAGACCGGCATCGTAGATTTACAACTTTCCCCGTGGTTCGATTATCAGTCATTCGAGAGCGTGCCCGAGTATGTTAGGCGTGTGACTCCTTATATCGCTGACAGTGTAGAGAGTAGTTTGGGAATCAGCTCGTGGCATCGGCGTTTCCATCCAGATACACCGCTCCATCCTAACTACGCCGCCCTCGGTGGAGAGCTTCCACCCCTCATATTTGGCGTTGTTGAACAACCTCCAGAGGATCCTCCCGTCGAACCAGTTCAACCCGACGAAGGTTCAACTTTCTTTCGCCCAATTATTTACGGAACTGCTATTGCTTGCATGTTGCTATCAATATTATTATCAAGCGTATTTGTGCTGTATTCAACTTGATTAAGTGAGCGAGCGAATCTGTTGCCAAGTATGTCTGCTTATCTAAATATTACAAATTGAACTGTATTGAGAGAACGAATCATTACATTTATTTTCTGGATCATTTACAAAGATTTGAACTTAGTACATTACAACTTTTGCTTAAAATCCATCGAAGGCTACATTTTATTCCTGAGCTTCCTGCCTAGATCGATCGCTGATTTGGCGAAGCATTGTTGTCATTAATCTTCATACCTGCATCACATTGTTTCGCATCATTTGCACTATTGACTAACTCCATCATATATGTGTCACTAGCCATAGTCACATTGATTTAACAACTACTAGATCCTCCTTTTTCCTACAACTTCTAACACACAATCTTCCTAAGGACCATAAGTTACTCTTTCCTAAGTTGACAATGGTAACGCAATTCTCATTAGCCAACTTATGAAACTAACTCAATTTTAAGCTCCTTCCTCTGTTATGGATCCTTTTATCTTCACCTTACAGTAGTAAATGCTATCTAGGTTTCAGCTATTTCAAGAGTTCAGTAAACAGCCCACTATAGCATAACAACTAAACATTCACAATAAAAAAACTAAGGTCCGTCATAAACTTCTGAACCCATAAAAAATTACCGAAAAATCACAAAAAAATCTCATTAAAATAAATCACAACCTTACCCTCATCAAGAAGATCATACCCACCAAAAATTAAGCTAAATACAACAAAACCCATGAAGCATTCAGATCTAAATTCACATTTCAACCAAGACCCAATCCATAAAAAAAACAAAAGCACGAACCAGATGAAGAGTAATACCGCATATTTCATTAAAGAAAACCTAAGAAAAATCTTCAAGTAAACGACATGGGCACAGAGCATTGAGGGATTCCGTACCTTCCATTGTATCCACAGAAATCTAAGATCCTGTAATTAAAATTTTCCTGCTCTTCTCTGGCAAGGGGAATTTCTTCCCCTTTGAGAAGACCCCAACATTCGATTGAAGAATTTTAGAACGGGAAGAGGCGAGATTGTAATTATTTTATGTGCTGGCTTTGGGGTTTTTTTTTTTTTTTTCTTTTTTCGCCCCCCTTAGTTTATGGCGCTTTGTTAATTGGGAAATGGGGATCCCACCTCCTCGCAATTTTGCACATGTATCCTTCTAATCTGCACCCTCTTTTACACCCGCGAGTCAATTTGGGTCTCTTTGACTCTTGTGCTGTTAAAGAAGTCGGCGCAAGAAGGATTTCTGGACAAAAATTTATGAAATGAGTTTTCTTAATTATAGATTGAAAAATTCCTCAAGGACCCAAAATATGGGATCAATAGGGGGGACAAGTGAGGTGTCCCCCTCCTATTGAATAATGAGTTGACCATCATTAATGATGGCCAACTTATTATCCAATAGGAGGGGGACACCTCACTTGTCCCCCATATTGGTCTCATATTTTGGGTCCTTGTAGCAAAGCTCTTATAGATTACATCAACCATTAGAAGATGTCATATCACCCTCCTGATTTCAAGATAGTTCCGAGCGTCGAACCAAACAAGGGAAAAAAGTGATAGAAAATAGGTTTCTTATAAATAACAGTTTTCTTTAATTTAATATTTTAGCAACCAAACAATCCTCACCATAAACTATGCTTGCAAAAAAAAAAAAAAAAAAATGGAAATTGACACAGTTCAAAAATTAGAGAGCCGGATATGATACGACTAGAGATATGAGTCGGATACTTGGAGGACGAATATGCATCAGATATAAGATAAGATTGATATATTAATCGCTCTATTTTGCACCAAAGACATAATATGTGAATACAAAATTTGCAATTTATTTATTTGCTTGCTGTAAATTTTTAAAAGGGATAAATTATCAGATTGATATTTAAATTAGACTTTATTTTATCACTTTGATAGTTAAAAAGGCTCAGACAATTTTTTTTTTTTTTGTATTTAAATTGTGTATGAGCGGCAGTTAGGTATAAAAACTCTCCGGCATTTATTTTTTTCGGCGAGAACTGTTGGAAAGTTTTCTACTAATCTATTATTGCACTTTACATTATTCTTCTCTTTAAACTCTCCGAGCCCAAATTTTTTCTATCCCTTTTAATAAAAAAAATCCTCTTTCACCCTCTCTCACTAATGGAGCCCTTCCTTCTCCTCAAAACGCTGCTGAATGCGGCGTTCGACCCCGCCGGGGTCCTTGTAGAGGTGCGGTAAGATAATAAAATTCTCTTTATGCTAACACAATCATAGATGCTAAAGAAGGTAGAAAAAGCAAAACAAGAGGAAATTTGAAGAAGATAAACTGAAGATTGTACAACATAAATACGGTAAGAACTCTGGTTCTATACATGGGCGAAGGTCGTCAAAGATTTACATTGCGCCCTTGGAAAATAACATTAAACATTCCAAGCCATCACACTCTCGAAGAAAATACTTTCTGCTCTTGATGGCGTATGAATTATTTCAGTTATATCCCCTTACTTAACTTTCTTTGAGAGTGCCATGACATTGAAGTTAAGTGAATTAGGGTTTTTCTGGATGATGCCTTTGATGACATCTGCGCCATCCTGCCAAAAAAAAAAAAACATAACAATCATCAGAAAAACAAATAACTAGGTGCAGCAAGCCGGGAAAAAGGAAAACAGTACATCTGTATATTTTTATTCATTGCAGAGAAGCCATTTATCTGACAATTCAATAAAAACTGTATCGCCCCTTGGTCTTATCATAGGTTTAAATTGCACCAACCTTGTACAGCTCGAACGTATGACTACCAGAAAAAAAATTGTCATGGAACTGAAAACTGGGTGAAGCACTGGATGAGTTGCAAAAAAAGAAAGAAAGAAAGAAAGAAAATTAATACACAGAGGTCTATATTTCCTGTAGCCTACATATCTCAGTTGAACAGAGATCTAAAACTACCAAAAGTGATGAATGCTTCAATAGTTTCAGGTGTACTAATCTTTCTTTTTCTTCAAATTCAGGAGGCCTTGGAGATATTATATGGCAAGCCAAACTGTCCACATAAGAAGCAGATTAATAGCGAGAAGTTTTTAAGTAGGTGGTATCACTGCATCCGGCGTGCACACAGAAGCAAGTGCTTGTGGTGGCTATTATCTTGTTGAGTACACATACATCAACTACGCACTGACATTTGTACATGTATGTCGCAAATCTTCTAAAGATCTTCGCAACACTTCTCAAGAACTTCAGAGAACATGATGCCCATTTGCTATAGCTACATTTTACCAAATATATTACTAGAGGGCAGACCTCCTACAGTATGCTGACCTCATCTCACCTCAATGTTGCCATTGTTTTTAGCATCTTGCTAAATAAATAACTAGATATCAGTTGTAGGCTAACCTATCCACTACTGCGGTCCAATACATATTTTCTATCCTAGGAGCGATGGGAGTTATATATTTCATCACATATCCCTGATAATTTGGTTATATTTGAAGTACAATAATATGTCATTGCCCATTCTTTATAAAAAGGGAATTTAACCCAGAAATGAACTTACTGCTTCCCTAGTGGAAGGTTGTAGGTTCGAATCTTCCCATTTGCAATGGCCGAGAGTATTTTCAAATTGATATACGGAGGCACATAAAAGTAGGCCTATATGCAAGGGCTAGAATTCACAGCTTAAAGAGGCACGGGCAATTCAAGAAGTGTAGTCATGATCTATGTGCAGTTGTGCACAACAGAAGGAACGAGCCAACTTGCAAAGACAATAATTTCTTCTTAGAAGATAAAATGAGATTATGGCATCTGATGGTTCTTATTCCCCGTGTTACCAACATGGCATCATATTGTAACAAGTCATATGCTAGCATCCTGCCACGGATCTCCTGAACCTTGAAGACTGCTCAAGTAATATAAGTACACTAGATGAAGCTATAGTTGAAATTGTGCTAGCACGAAAGAGGACTCATGTCAAACAAAAGGTAGGAAAGTTTAGTAGTCTAACAAATGTAGGTAACTCTTAAGACAATTTAGTAATAAGCAACATGATTCCTTCCCTCACAACGTCTTTCAAAATTTACGACCAGTTATACAACAAAAAAAAAAGGTAGCCTTCTGTGCGTGTGCATCTCTGTTAGGACTGAATCTCATGATAAATGAACTACAACATCCTTTCTCTACTGCTTCAATCCATCTTTACTTAGGTTCACACCTAGCCGTTCTGTCCCAACAAGTAATCACACATCTCCTTTTAACCGGGTCCCAACAAGTAATCATATATCTCCTTTTAACCGGGTCTCAGCACTCTTTTTTACGCGCTGTATCATCTCAAACAATATTGCATCCGAAGGAGGAGGTAAGTACAAGTTTGGTGGGGCGCTTGCTCTCTAGAGGTTCACACCCAATCATTCTATCCCAACAAGTATAATCTTGTATCTCCTCTTAACCAAGTCTTGGCACTCATTCTACATGCATCAAACAATATTGCATCTAGAGACAAAGATAGGTACATGTTTGGAGGGGCCATTATACCAAACAATGTTGCACCCAGAGGCGGAGGTAGGTACAAGTTTGATGGGATCCTTGGCCCCTCGAACTTTTGGAGCATACGCACATAAGTGGATAGAAAGCTAGAATTAACTTAGGTGGATAAAAACTCTTAACCCACCAGGATGTGTGCATTGATCCAAGGTGGTGGATAACAAGCTTCTATCCACTTAAGTTTACAAAAGCCTTTCTTTACACACACTACTCACCTCGAACTTTTGGCAATTGTGTGTGCGCGCGCGCGTGTATATATATATATGTGTATATATATATATATATATATATATATATATATATATAGTAATTGTTGGCCGTCTGAAAAATCCTCCAAAAATATTTTAGCTAACTAATTATTGCCAATATGCACTATTTTCAAGGATGCAAAATTTAAAAAATTTCCTCCATAAATTTTCTCTAATTTCTATCAAAAATAAAATCTCTCACCTAATCTACTTTTGATCCTCCTAATCCTTTGAGCATATTTCTTATTGCCAACATCTAGATCCACAATCACACCCTTGTTTAAGTCATACCTTAATCAAAACTGATCAAACAAGGTAAGCACTCCTCTACTAATTTTATTTAGATTTATTTTTTATTCGGAAGAAAGTCTTCCTCTTAACATACTTTTGCTCACATGACATAAACGAAATTTTTGTGAATCTTTCATGTAACCCTCATTACTTGGCTTGGAAAACATAACAAATTTAGTTTGAAATTAGTGTAATTTTTTTTCCTTTTCTGATAAAATAAATAAGAGGGCACTTATATATCTTGGGTTCCTGGTCCCCCATATAAAATTCCTAACTCCGTCATTGCATCATTTTATCCTCCTTTCAAAAAATCTTTGGCTTGATGCAGTCATTTCTTATCATATTCCTCGGGTATCGTCACTCATCAATTCAGAAGTATCATTTCTGTTGTACTTCTTTTTTTAATCTATTTGTTGCCCAAAATTTTGACCAACTATACAGATATCTTCTAAAGATCTCTCTCAACTTTGTGACTATTCTATGCTGACATAAGAATCCAAGTCCTAATTTTGACAATCCTTTGGTTCCAAACACAAGATCTTCCTAATATCAGCATCACGATGAACGCAAAAGCAAAATTTATTACTCCGAGGTACCTCTTGGACATTAACGTGGAGTCGTGGACAATATTTTTCCTCATTTCTTCTCATGGTACATCTATACATCTTACATTCTTTCAGACCGAGGTTTACTTTTTTTGTTATTTATTATATATTTTTAATTCTTATCACTTATGTTTATTCTACATCATATTCTCAAATAAAACACCAAAGTGCAACATTCCACTCAATTGAGTTAAGAACCTACGGAAATCACGCGACATTAGGATCAAAAGTGAAATCATTTAACCATGCTTCTTACACAAGCTTCAAAGTTCAAACTATATCAAGGAGACTAAACATTCCCTTGTGAAAATGGGAATTAATATATAAATCGGAGCAACAAATAAGTCCAAACTGTGAACATCTATGTTGCATGGAAACAGTACGAGTATTAGTATGGTTACCGAACACGACTGAGCATATGTCGATACCAGTACATGACGCAACAATTTGTAAAAAGTAGGGTACGAGGACACAACTATATGAACATTTATATACACATATATATTATATATTAAAATTAATAATTTATATGAGATTAATATTTTTTATTCACGTGCTATGAGAAATAAAATTCATATGAAATTTTTACGTTTCTTTTATCATGTGGCTTATAAATTGTAAAACTGCTTATTTTTTACTAGACACCTAAACGATCCATTAACATCCTAGTTCAGAATCCAACAGGTTTTAAGAGGGCATGGACAGCCAAACAACTCATGGTTTAGGATCACTTAACAATTAGGACCACCCAACAAGTTTCAATGAGTGGATTTGAAGTGTAGGATGTGCGTTCAAAATATGTAAAATAAGTGCTCTAAATTAAAACATCTATTATTTAATTGACTACATGCCCGAGTAAATGTATGCATATATTGTCCAAGGAGTTTGGGTGCAAGTACAGGTACGTGCTAGGTCCATGTCGAGCACAACTTCAAATAGAAGTACCTAGGTAACATAAGTGTATGTGTATTGAGATTAATAATTTATATGAAAAAAATATTGTTTTTCCATTCACATGTTATGAGAATTAAAATCCCCATAACATTGTTATGTCTCTTTTATTATGCACATAATGAATTGGAAACCTACTCGCATTTTAACTAGATATCCAAAGGATCCTTCAAATCATAGGTTTGAAGTCTGGGCTAAAACGAACCTAGCCTATCACCCATGATGCCCAATGAGTTTGAGGAAGTGAATATGTAGGATATGTAATATCCCCAAAATTTACAGTAGCTTATTTATTTATAAAATTTCATTATAAGTTGAAAATTGAGATATAGTATGATGTAGTGATACAGTTTAATTGTGACACGTTGAATGAAATATTTGTAGTTCACATTATTGACAAGAATCATATAGAAATCAATGTTGTGTTATAAGATGACTGACTATTGCGATGTTACAAAGTAAACCAGTACAAAACTCAGGTACAAAGCCAAAAATCCATACCGGATAAAAAGGGATTAGTTGAGGGATTAGTAATCGTTATAGAAGAAATATTTTGTAATTGGTAGTTTGGTACGACTAATTTTGCCTATTTGTTGTAATTATTCATTAATCAAGACTAATGATATATTTAACTAATAAGCTAATTAGGACACATACCCTTGTGATGTGTCTCTTGTTAAGCCTTTCTTAGACACACATGCTTAAGAGAGAAGAGACATTCACCAACACTCCTGATGACACCTAACAGTATATACCCAAATCAGTCTAATACAATGACTGCAAATTAGCTGCCAGTTCAATTTCTGCGCATCTGTAGTAAAACAGCCATAACTTACAAAATACAGATCCAATCAATGTTCCATTTTGGACATCAGCAAGTTAACTGATAGACCTACACACCAATATGTAATTTCAAGGATTTTACAATGATTATTAGCCCATAATAGTCATCCAAAGTGATTGAATAGGTAATTCCAGCATCGTTTTTTGTACTAAACATTGTTGTAGTACAACGAGCATAACTCTTGTTGTATAATAACTCGTACTGAGTCGGCTCGTGCCTTAGAAAGACAACAGAATTACCTATCCATTGATATACAATTTGTAACCACATGATTTTGTATAGGCTCCCATAATGGCTATACAAACTGAGGTTTATGCTAAACCCTGTTTTGTTTTGGTAGAAACAAACAATCACGGTTTCCTTAGAAATTTAAGACAGAATCTTAGATGATTCTAATTCATAAGTAGATATATGAACTTGTCAGAATACAATAGAAAAGGGAAAATTCATGCTGGAATATTGGAAACAAATCATTCGATAAGATACCGACTAGACCTCATAGTTGTCTAACTAGAGAGTCAAAAATAACCCATTTGCATGAACTAGATAACCATTTACAATCGTATGCGATGACCTAATGTAGTTACATGATGTAAACATGTAGGTTCTGAATATTGAACTTGGATGTTGAAGTTGAGAATTCAATTCCGGTACCGATACGTAACAACTTCCTTGTTTCCTATTATTCTGTTGGATTCTCTCATATGCAACCTTGTGCTTTAAGTATGTCCATATAAATGTCCACGTCAGGTACTATCAACTGATACTCTATGCATGTCGATTGGTGTCATTTGGACACTTCTCTTTCTAACGATGATTAATATTTTTTCAGCATCATTTGATGAGATCTCACAATGAAATCGATGCTTGTGTAATTGTTTTCAGTGTATTTTTCTTTCATGCTCTATTTCGGTGGATTCCCTGTCCTGCGTGTATTTTTTAGATTTCAGTTCTCATATTTGAATATATATTCGAATATTTTAGTATTCCTTTAAATTTGATCACTTAGTTGTTGAGTTCATAACTTTCTTTTAGTTACTTACTGAGCCTTCCATTCACCACCTATTTATGTGGTAGCATTTGTTCTCAGGGAGCAACCAAAGCAAAAGTAAGGAAACCATTGAACCATGTGATCACTAGATAGGACACGCTCGAATGATTTGCCATAGCGTTTTGTGAATAATAGAATCAAGACCATAGTAGTTAAGCCATGAGAATAATAGAATTAAGACCTTATGTCTATGTAGTAGCTGAGTGTTCCTATAGCAGCTTTGAGCTATGAAAGTATTATGCATAAACCCTGTTGTCAACTTACTAAGTTCCTTGGAATTAATGTGTATGATATGGTTATTTGAAGTTACAGATAAGTCTAGCGCCTGGGTTGGTCTAGGCCAACCCTGGCCCGGGACTGTCGGTTCTAGGCTAATTCAGGTTAGGTCGATCCGGACCAACCTCGAGGCTGGGTCCGGCTAAAGCCCAGGCATATGGGTTGGGAGCACAAACCAACCCGGCACATCGAGTCGCCAAGTTGGTCAACACAGTCCACTATTTTCTTGTTCTTTTTTTTTTCTTTCTATTCTTTTGACTCTTTTTTCCTCAATTAGATGAATTTTGACCTACTGGTTGGGATTTTGTTGCTGCTTGAGGAATATTTTGGATCCAACCTACCAATTTTTTACTTGAAAAGCATGCACCTTTAACTATGCTATTAATTTTTTAGATTACTAAATAGTTAGTAATAGTCATCTAGCTACTAATCACTAATTTAGTTACTAATAACTAATGTTAATGTGGGGGGTTGCGTGTGGGTCAGGTTTCAGGCCCGGGTCTGATCTGACCTACGCTGGGTTTGCGAACCGGGATTGCCTAGGTTTCAGAAACAGACTTGAACAGACTCATATCCAGCTCACATTGGGATCAAACCAGGCCAAACCCAACCCAGATGCTAATGGGGGTGGAATCAAACCCAACCAAATACAAGCTGGTTCATGTGGGTTGTGGACCAATCCAGCCTAGTCACCACCGTTAGTTATAGATTAATTGTACAGGTTAATCATAGATCATATGGCTGGATCATGTCAGAATTTTCTAGAATATACTGATGATATTTGGGTCAGGATGGTACAAAATATATGTCTAAGAAGTGTATGACGAATATTTTAAATTAAACCTTTTATAGTACTTTATAAAAAGCTTTGTAAGGATATACATTTGAATGACTCATGAAACATTCTTCTTTTCTTAGCTTTATTTTTTGGGAATATTTTTGTTTTTGCAGAGGTAAAATGGGGACTATGAAAAATATGAAAGAGTTGACATTTTGTCCCTCCAACTTTAAATGAACCTTCTCTCTCTCTCAAATAAAAAAGGCTTTTTCATATATACCCATCAAATTATAGTATTTTCAACTTTACCCCTCTAAATCATTATAATGGCTAGGATATTAAAACTCTAAATAAAGAAGTTTTCATGTATAACATTGCACATGCATTTGCGTGTGCAGTGATGATAGCGTATTATATAAATGAGTATACACCCAAATAGATGTATTCACATATTCAAGAAGTGTCCCAGGAAGTTTCAGTTACAGATAGTAGTACACAGGTAACATAGGTCAGCATACAATGAAAATTGGAATGGACTCAGTCCATGGTGACATTCAAGGGAAATAAAACCTAAGACCTTTGGTTAAAAGCTCTTACATCGACTCTTCATACATACAACAGGTCACTGCTAAAGTATTCGCAGACAACAATCTGAAGCAGGAGCACTTGACTCATTTTTAATTGTATCAGGTTAATTAGAAGTACAGAGAACCAAGAAAATCAAATTGCACACCAAACACTGGAAGCAATAACATTCACAGCCAGAGGCCAACAGACTGATGGAAAATCATTCTGGTTTGATGTTAACATTTACTCGAATCAGTGTGCAACAGACACATGGACCAAATGCTGCCGAAACAGTACTCTTCACATTTCATGTTGATGTATGAGTAAAACTTGAGGTCATTTACCTTCAGGAGACATTTAATATTAGGCTTCTGATAAGAGTGACTTAGATACAAGTGTCATGACTAGTTTATGGTAAGATTTGATACCTTAGTTCAATACTAATAGTACCACTTGAGTGGGTGCGTGGCTTGGTTGGTGGAGGGATGAGTGGGTGGGCAGGCAGGTGAAGGAAGGAGGGAGAATGCGTAGCTTACGGAAGGAATCATCCAAATATCACATGGTGGGTTATCAGATGATGTGCACAATTTATCGCAAACTCCACACTCTTACATGATCGTCGATATAGGGCATATTGGGTGGCTCTTACTAACGAATCAAATGTTTGAACGAGTTGTTTTCAGTAATAAGACAAGCAGAGCCCCTTGGTTGGTAGTTTAAAAACTCAGTCAAATTAACTAAATACAGTTAACTGATGCAGTTTGGCTTCAGATTTCAAAAATAAATGATGCATCTGTTGAAAAGAACACCATTCTACATTGAATTATCCATTTTCTATTAAAACAAAGGAAAAAAAATTAAGAGAAGTAATATGATCGAAATAAATTATCTATTTATCTAGGCTAAAAAACTAGCTAGGTAATTTGCGTTCTAAGTTGTCAATGTGCTAAGCCTTTAAATGGTGGAACAAAAGGAATATATAAAGTGAAAGAAGATTACCTGCAACAAGCTATCAGGTGATGATGGACCATGGGATATCGGTTGAGATTTTCTCCCATCAAGCTGATAAAGTTCTCCTGCAATGCTAGATATCATACTATTGTACAACGATAAAAGATACTAGTCTATAATATTACGAGAACCTTACATTATTTTGAAAATTCATAGTCTATAATATTACGAGAACCTTACATTATTTTGAAAATTCAACAACTAACATAACTATCAGTTATCATGAATTACATACCATCAACACAGGTGAAGCAAATATAATGTTCATTCACATCCGGAGAAGCCTGTCAAGGAAAAAGCCAACAACTCAAGAAACAAGACAAGAGTTAAATATAAAGACTGAAGAAATCGACAAGGTATTTGCACACAATAAGTGACAGCATAGAGCAACATCACTGGAATACAAATAAAGGGAGAATTATATGAACAAAAAAATAAAGCATGATTGAATCCAAAAGGGAAAATATGGACAAAGATACAGGAAAGAACAAAAAGCATTAATCTATCTATATAAAATACCAGAAGACTAACATTCAATCTTTGTTTCTCTAACCGTGGCGCAATGAGTTACCTCCAAGGTGTTAAATATCGGAAGTCAGGGACATGTCAAACAGCCGAAATTAATATCAAATTGCGAAAATCGGGAAAAGATTGGGATATGTAGCAAATATCGGAGTGCCATAACTGATGGTGTGCATGCATAATACAAGTCATAGAATGTAACCTAGACATAGAACTTGCATGATTAAACAACTTATTTTAACCTCTTTGAATCAACAAATAACAACAATAAAAAACACTAATTAAAAGCAACGATTTAAATAACCACTTAATACAGATTTCAAAGATAACAGTAATCAAAATAATTGAAAAAAGAAGAGCGTGAACGTGTGAGATCAACAATGTTACATTAAACGCTGAGCGCTTCTAGGCGTCGGACTTGGCGCCCAGCGTTTAGTCGCCTAGGCGGGCGCTTAAGCGGTTTCTGGATGTTTTTTTTCTTTCTTCATTTAAGTAGTGGTCGATGAGGTTTTGCTGAAGGTCGGAGGAGGTAGTGGAGGTGTTCATATTTGGAGGTTAATGAAGTTTGGAGGACGTGTAGACTACGACACATAAAATCACAATCAAGGCCTACAGGTGCAATCCACGTAAGCAGACAATGCTCCCCTAAACGCTCGTAAAATCTAGGTGGGCATCCTAAATATCGCCTAGGCGCTAGGCGCTAGTTAGGCGGTCTAGGTACCGCCTAGGCCTAGGCGTACGCCTAAGCGGACTAGGCGGATCAATAATTTACCCAAAACTAATGATTGATGGCTAACCTCTTAATACAGATTTCATAGATAACAATAATCAAAATAATTGAAAAAACAAGAGCGTGAACGTGTGAGATCAATAATTTACCCAAAACTAATGATTGATGGCTGTTACCATTGAGGACAGTAACACATATCAAATAATTGAAAGATAGCCAGCGGAAACCCTAGATTTAGAGGAATAATTATTACTGAACTGTAAGAGATGAACACACTGCCTTATTTGCACACGCTGAAGTCACTGTTGAAGCTCCTTCAGAGTTCACGCCGATCGAGAAAGGGGCAAGGTTATTACCATTTTGCACTCCTTCAGCCTTTCTTTGAAAGAAGATGAGAAATCCTTCAAAGTCCTTACTTGCCATTAAAAACAGTCCAAATCCGCCGAAGTCCTCAAACTTGCCATCGAATGTACGTCGAGAAGCATCTTCAAAGGCTCCCTTGCGAAACATTGCCGTCGTCAAATGTCTGTCTCGAAATTCCATCGATAGAGAAGAGGGAGAAACGCGAAGCGCCAATATGGGTAATAAGTTTTCCCTACTAAACAATAGGGATGTTTTTTAATACATCTGGTCTGGGTTTACTTAATCAGTTTGGGTTCAGGTTCAGGTCCTAAAACCAAACGCAAAATTTAATTCAAAACTTTTTCTCCAATATCAGCCAATATGTTGACTTCGATTTTTCGACCAATATGTCTGGTAAATCCCGATGTGGCATTGATATCTACCCAAAATGCCATACACCTTACAAATTCATATTTCCCAGCGGATATCCCTTCAAACGAAGTTGGCTCACATGTCCGACATGCCGCCCAACATTTAAAACCTTGGTCACCCCTTGCAGTTTCATCATGTTTGCGTACTTAAGTTCAGAAATCCATAAACACTTGAAGACACTTGAACTTGTTTTGTTCACTACACAATGCATGCTGGATGATAGAACTTGGAAATTCCCAAATTATGCAATCAAGATTCTACTACAAACCATGACTCCACCACTCACAACACCAGCACTGAAAACCCACTTATGATTTTATTACTTACAATTTGGCACCGCATACCACCATGCATCTAACTCTCATTACATCATTATGGTCTCTGATTTTTGTCATTTATCTTCCAGTCAAACTGGTTCCTTCATCAGTAATTCACTCTCACAGCCACCATCATCATCAATATATAACATAAGTTATCCACCTATATCACGGACACTAACATCAAAAGATTAAATTGGATAAGCAGCAAGCTCAAGATATGATCAAATGAGATTACCCAGCTTTTGTTTTGTGAAAGTTCTCTTTCAACCAGTCCTAAATGAATGAAGTTAAGTGGGTTGAAGCATGAGGGATTGGAGCCGATACTATTTCTCTCGTTTGACTATGGGGGCATTGGACTATTTATGTCAGGTAAGGGAATCGAGCAAGGAGATCCCATGCTTCACATGTTACATTCTCTATTCAAGCAATGATGAAGACGTTGGTCATGGAAATCAAGCATTGTAATTTGGAGGGTAACCAAGTGTTGCCGGTGAACTAATTTCCTTTTCTTGATGATTGCTTACTAGTGGCCAGGGATTCACAGCATCACACTCCCCCAAAAGACTGCTTCATTTCTGGTCATTTCAACACCATTGTTCATGGTATGAAGATATGAACCTGTCCTGTATCTTTTACCTGATCTGACCAACTGTCTTCTCAGTGTAAGCAAGGACTAAGAACTTGGTTCTGTTCATGAAGTTTTTGATGATCAACTTCAGATCGAAGTTTTCAGCCATTATATTGCTTAAAGGAGATTATAAATGAAAACCTCACAGAATTCTGTTTTAGTTGCTAAAAAAGCAGCAGTCAAGAATACGCATTCTATACAATATTTGAGGAATTAACTTTGGTTTCAGAATGTCGATAGCATTAAGTACGAACTTAAAAGATTCAATAAATTCGCCGTTGAAATAAAGCAATAAATAATATCTATAAAACTAAGATACTCGGATGTGAAGACTAAAGACCAATTCTTATTTAATTTGAGAAATAACCAAATAATTTAAGTAAACCTCTATAATGAGGGATGTGAAGACTAAAGACCAATTCTTATTTAATTTGAGAAATAACCAAATAATTTAAGTAAACCTCTATAATGAGAAAAGCATACAAAAAATTCAACTTACTGCCTTGAGTTATGGGTCAAGATCGGGTCAAGTTTAATGGTGTTCAGCTGGTTTGAAGTTCAAGTTTCACATAGCCATCAATTGTGGGGAAAGGAGGAAGATTCCCAAAGTCAACTACAGAAGATTTATAGTGATGCCCACCCGTGCCGACTACTAACAGAGGAAGCATTATTGTGCACTAGAAGAAGTGAAGAACGATTCATGGGTTGATATGACAAAATAGCGCCTACCGTACGTTGATTGAAGGTCACCATGAGAGCAAATTGTCCAACACTAATTATTCTGACGGAGATGCAACACATAAAATTCACAAGAACATATACCAGGTGATACTGCAATAAGGTTGTGAAGCATCTGTCCTGAATATGGTATATTAGTATGTATTTTAATACAGATACTATGCATGAGTATTTATACATTAGTAGAACCGAAAGCAGTACTCAGAACCTATTTTTTATAGAACTTTCATGACCTAATAAACGCAAGAATTTGCTTGTCTCATAATTCAATTATGTTCACTATTCGAGACAAATCCAAATTTACTTTTTCCATATCTATATTTATTGAAAAAGTCAAAAAATCAGCCAAAAACCAAACTCATTAAACCCAATCCGAATTTTACCTGCTTAATACCTTATTAGAACCTTAACTTCTGTAGAAAGTATGTCAGTGTTTAGCGAACTCATTAAACAAGGCCAAGTGGAGACAACATAGGTCCAAACTCCTAGTCCTAGTTAGGCAAATTTTGGGCCAAGACTTAAACTAGCTTTGCTAGGTCAAATTTTGGCCTTAAACTAGTTTATTTTACCTTAACTTCTGTAGAAAGTATGTCAGTGTTTAGCGAACTCATTAAACAAGGCCAAGTGGAGACAACATAGGTCCAAACTCCTAGTCCTAGTTAGGCAAATTTTGGGCCAAGACTTAAACTAGCTTTGCTAGGTCAAATTTTGGCCTTAAACTAGTTTATTTTGCGAACTCATTAAACAAGGCCAAGTGGAGACAACATAGGTCCAAACTCCTAGTCCTAGTTAGGCAAATTTTGGGCCAAGACTTAAACTAGCTTTGCTAGGTCAAATTTTGGCCTTAAACTAGTTTTTTTT